GCGGGGCAGGCTGAGCTGGTGGCGACTTGACTTGGGCAGGCGATGCGCGGCTCGATGTCTCGAACGATAGAACCTCCTTCCGAGGCGATTTAATGCGCGGACGCGATCACGTGGGCTGTGGGCAGCCGGGGCAGACGAATTTTTTGGGTCATTCCCGAGTTTCCGGGTCAACCCGAACCCGACCCGATTTTGCAAACGGGTCAGTTTTTTGGACCCGAACCCAACCAGCTTCGGGTTCGGGGCAACCCCAACGCGAAATGGGCAGCCGGGGCAGACGAATTTTTTGGGTCATTCCCGAGTTTCCGGGTCAACCCGAACCCGACCCGATTTTGCAAACGGGTCAGTTTTTTGGACCCGAACCCAACCAGCTTCGGGTTCGGGTCAACCCAAACGCGAAATTTTCGGGTCGGGTCCAATATTGGCAGCTCTAGCTCTAACCAATTTTGTGTAAAATTTTGTATATAAGGACATGAAGAAGAATAAAGAGGATAGCAAGGAGGGGATTAGCTACTGACTCACCCACTCCTTTTGAGGAGGTAGAGGAAAAAGAGGTGGAGGTAGGGGATGTTAACTAATTTCAAGTGGAGGAGATAAGAGAAGTTAGCCCGTCTCTTACTATTTTACATAGGAGTGATGCAAAGTTGATATCAAAGTGATAGGAAATACTTGAGTTCGCAAGAAAACCTATCTCTAATTGGTTAAAACAACAAGATAATTGCAAAATCTGGGTGAAAACAGCCTCAAAACGATAGATTGCAAGAAGAGAACAAAACCAAAATAAATGTCAAGCAAGATACAATTGATCCTCAATTCGAGAGGATGATCATTCTCTCTCAATCTCTAGACAAGATGCCTAGAGCCCAAGACGTCAAAGAAACTCCAAGAGAAACAAAACAAAGCATGAAAAAACTAACCCTAGACAAAAACCCATTCAAAAATTCCCTCTCCCTAGCCGCCCAATCCTCCTTCAAATGTTCCACGCGGGCCCCGCATGTGGGCGGCAATCAAAGGGGGCGGAACCCCTTGTTCCGCCTCCTGTAATAATGAGCCGGCCTTTGGCTGCTCCTTGGCCGGTTCATCAATACCGCACTCCCAAAGAATCACTTAGTCCTCAAGGTCAAAACTAGGAAACTGTTGTTTCGCCCTCTCGTACAGCTCCCATGTGGCATCGTAGTCAGGCAGATTCTTTCACTTCATCAGCAATTCTTTCGATCCATCTTCTTTCTGGCGAACCCCCATCAACTCTAAGGGTTCCATAATCACCTCTAAATCCTCAGTAAGCGTGGCCGGTAACACTGAGCTGGCTGTGTAATCTCTAATGGCTCTTCTCAGCTGCGAAACATGAAAAATCAAATGAATAGTCAGCGTGGGTGGTAGTTTCAGCCAATATGCTACTGCTCAGATTTTTTCCAATATTTCATAAGGTCCAAAGTACCTTGGAGCAAGCTTTTCATTTCTCCTGTTGGCAACTGTCTTCTGCCGGTATGGTTGGAGCTTTAAGAACACTTTCTCTCCTTCTTTGAACTGGATGTCCTTCCTATATCCATCAGCTTGTTTATTCATAATATGTTGAGCTCTCAGTAGATGTTTCTTCAATTCCTCTAACACTTGATCCCTCTCCATCAAATACTCCACTGAAGAAAACGGAGTACTGCTACTCCCAAAGTGCACCAAGTGAGGAGGATCCCTTCCGTACAGCACCTTGAATGGAGTCATCTGTGAAGCCGGGTGAAACAAGGTGTTGTATCAGTACTCCGCCCATGACAACCACTTGGCCCAAAGCTTGGGTATCTCTGACACAAAACATCTCAAGTAGGTCTCCAAGCTCCTAATGACCACCTCCGTTTGGTTATCTATCTGTGGGTGGTAAGCGATGCTCTTCTTCAGAACTGTTCCCTGTAACCTGAATAACGCCCTCCAAAAATGACTAAGGTACACCTTATCTCTGTCTGACACGAACGCCTCTGATACCCCATGCAATCTGACCACCTCTCTAATGAATGTTGAAGCCACTGTCACCGCGGTGTAAGGATGTCGGAGGGGAATGAAATGAGCATACTTGCTAAATCTATCCACCACCACCAAGATCAATGTGCAGCCTTCTGAACGAGGCAGCCCATCTAAGAAATCCATAGATAGCTCCTCCCATACTCGTCTTGGTAACGCCAACGGCTGTAGTAGTTCCCCTGGTGACATGGCCAAATATTTGTTCCTTTGACAGATCTCACATCTTGCCACCATCTCCTCTACA